CCCCCCCTCCTGGGGCCGCCTTCGTGACACCAATCAGGCCGCGCGCCGCACGCGACGGAATGCCGCACTGCTGCAACACCTGCTGGCGGACCCTTCCCGGGCCAACCCGTCCGGAAGGGAAAACCCTCGCCCCCTCCCACCCCGAGGGGAGGAGGGGGGGGGGGGCACAACCCTCGGGACGGTGCACAGGGTGAATGTCACACACAGGTGTGTGAATGCCAACTCGTACGTTTGAGGCAGTAAGCGTGTGAATTTCCCTCTCAATTGCACACACTGTGCCTCCATGTGTACAAATTGCGTTCATACACCTACGCGAAGTGTGCGACATTCGCCCACTTGGGTTTCCAATCTGGCGGTCGATGTGTGTCGGCGGGGCGAGTCCGCGTCGGGAGCGGCCGTTTGCATTTTCGACCGTCATCATGACATTCCCATTCTTATTCCACCCCCTTACCGCCCTATCTAGCCGCCCACGTCATCCTCTGCCAATCTTATCTTGAGGGGTTTTTATTTATTGAATATTTCTTACACTAGTTTCTTGACAATGTAATAGTTGTACAGCGACAAAAGCCTTCAAAAATTCGCTGTTTATGAACAACATTATTCTTTTTTACAGGGAGGTATTGCGGATTGAAAGGAAAGGTATTATTTTCCGTGAGCAGAGCAGCGGATCACGTATCGAGTAACGCAAATGCGCCGCCACACTAATTGGGTTTCCCCCAGCTGCTAACAGACGGCTGGCTAGGGGCCCGTCTGGGGGAAGGGCTTTAGGGGCTAGAGGTGCCGGCTTGTGGTGGGAGAGGGCTGTAATCTGCAGGAGGGTCAGCGGCGGCGGGCTGTGCTGGATTATAAGGTGGCGGTCGGAGAGAAGAATAAAAAAAAAATCAGGAATGATTGCAGCGGGGGCGGAATAACATGGGGCGTTTAGCTGCGGAAATCGGCAGGGTGGCGGTTGTTGCCGCAAATGGGCGGGGTAAGGGGGGAGGGGGGGGGGGCAGTGCGCGGTGCCGCCACCTGACGACTTCCGGTCGAGGTGTTGGAGGTCGCACCCGGGCCGTTCCGTTAGCAGCGCAAGAACGCTCCGCTCTATGAACCTCGGTCTCCCAACGCTCTCTCTGCACTCCATCGGCCCCTCCACTCCCACCCTCTCCGAACCTCCCAGCTATACGTCTCTCTCTTTGACTATTCTTCCCGCTCCCTGATTCTTTGTCCTTGCTTCAGCGTGAGTGTTCGGAGGGAAACAAACAGGGTGGGGCGTTTCAAAGCGACTACCTCTTCAAGCCTGCGAAATGAGGTATTTTATTGGTATGAAGAAGCTCAGGAAGAACAAGCCAGAACATAACAAGCCTTCAATTGTTTTTCGAAAATCGTCTGCTAAAACAATTGCAAAGCAGTCGATTTCCGAAAAACAGTTGAAGGCTTGTTATGTTCTGGCTTGTTCTTCCTGATCTTCTTTATACCAATAAAATACCTCATTGTTTTCCGGGCACACCTGCGCAAGTGTGTGTGCGTGCATTTAGTGGCATCGCGTGGCACCGTCGTCACTTTCGTATACGAATGTAAACGACAGCAGTTACCCCGGCTTGGGCGTAGATCCGGTTCTTGCCCTTGCCTTGGCGTCCTCCGAACATTCTCCGAACTCGAGACGCCAACGATCAATAACTATAAGGGCCCTGAGCCTGAGTCACTCCCCCAGATGCAGTCGTTGATCATCGCACTGCCCTCGCTACTGAACCTCCAGCACCTCAAGCTGTTTGTCGAGAAGGGGCTGTCGCAGATTGAGCTGTTGCTGGACACAGGCCCGACTCAGCCCCGGCACTGCGGTGTTTTACTTTTCGCACGTTATTGGAGGTTAGGGAAAAACTGCGCCCACGCTTAGATGCACAGTCGAACAGTCAGCAGGGCTGTTTTGTCAGTGAACCCTTCTCTCCATCTGAGGGCTGATTATGAACGTGAGTACTGCGGAATCAAACGCTGCCAGACGTGCGGTAGGTGCACCCAAGGCCAAGGCTGCCTCCAAGAGTTGAAAAGGGTGGGTTCAGAATGGCTCGACCTCGGCCTTTTTTCACATGATCCTAAAAGGAGTGTATGAAGGACCACACTGATCACTGTGTTTGGATGTAAATCGATTGTTGAGTTGATCAGTAACTATGTAAAATAAAATCGTACACATGACTGAAAAGAGGGAAATTTGATACCATAGATAGCCTAATTAAAAATCTTCATTTACTTGGTCATGACTTCACTAAAATCGTTTGTATTATTTTTACTGTTTCGAATCTTGAGTGGTTGAGATTGTTTCCAAAGTTAAATCATAAAATACCTAAAAAAATGTACCACAAATTTGACAAAATTTTAACTCGTTATAAATTTACCCCTGGACATCGTTATAAAGGTTCATTTGTCCATTCGCCACACGTGCAGCCAATGCTGCGATAATTCTCTTTCTGAACTGCAATTCGACTAGCAGCCGCCACAATCACGCCGGTGCCTTGGCGGGCCTGCCCGTCTCGCACGCACCCACCTGGCTGGATGCAAACTGCTGCGGCCGGCGCGTTTTGGCCACAGCGTTGACGTATTTGCATTTATAGGTCGCGCATGCTCCCTTTTTTATGAGCCGTAACTCCACTCATGACTTTCGTGTTGTTGAATGGGAGTGTTGCTCCGCGTGTTGCCTAGTCGGGCCGTTGCAAGTAGAGAAGGGGGGGGGGGTATTACTGCGAAACTTATCGCAATGCACGAAAGAAAGTCATTCATAATTTGGCCAGTTCTGCCGGCCCGTCGCTCACAGAATTATGGATTTTTCTGTTCCCTGTGGAAGGGTATGGTATGGTGGCTAGTTGGGCTCTGGCTGTGGCTAAAGCCCTTGCCAGGCAGGGTTGGCGACTAATGGTGGTCATTTCTTGTGATTTTGCTACATTCACTCATGGACGCCAAAGCCAAAGAAAAAGACGCACTTACTACACGGAAACGAGGTATAATGATTAGCTCTACACTATTTCTTAGAATGTTTTGAGATTGTAATTCCTTCATACTTCGCCGGAGTAAAATTTATTTGTGAAAACACGTTTACTTCTTTCCAAATATAGCTATCTTAGCTTTGTCTTCCATGAGATAATGAAGTAAAATGCCAAGAAAATGGCCACCTTGAGTTTCCATCCCTGTTGCCAGATCCGGCTAGATCATAACACTTACCATCCAGAAGAGGGTCTCGTTGGCGAAGTCGCTATAGATGTCTATTGTGGAGAGGACGCTGAAAATGAGGCAGACGAGGACGAGGAGGAATCTGGAACAGAGCAGGAAACAAGTTCTTTAGTGTGAGTTTTCTTTACTTTCCTTGCTAATGAGTAAATTTGGCAAAGCAGGTTAAATTTATGTGTGGTTTGTAGCACTCTTGGGTCGGGACCGACACGTCCACAGTGAATCTGTCAGCCACTTATGATATAACTCTTTCTAAAATTGTTATCTCCACCGTCAATTTCTTCCGGACATTTTCAGAAATTGCGGTTGTTTTAAAACGCAGATTGATTAAAATTTTCCAACCCATCGCCCTTCCTTCAGAAACAAGAATTCAGATCTTTGTTTTGGTTTTATTTGTATAATTTGATGTTCACACGTATTCTATACCTTAGCATCATAAGATTTACAGTTCGAGCAAAAACGAGAATTTTAAAATAAATTTCGTTTTAAAATGTGTCACCGTTTGTCGTCTTTATGATTTATCTGCTGGGTTGCGAATAATGCTATCGGAATGCATGAGACAACGGGGTCGAATGGCATGAATAACAGTAAGTGGTGTGGAAGGTGGACGAAAGAGGGAAGAAAGGTCAACCGACCTTAATGAAGTACAATCTTTACTGGAGTCCCTCTGCAGATTTGGGGGGGAGGGGGGCATGCCCTTTCCTCCCATTTTCCTTCTCGGGCCATAGGGCCTATGGCGTGTGGCCTGCTGCGAGCGAGCGCAGGGAAGAAAATCAATCCATGAGCAGCAGCAGAGTGGTGTGCCAAATCCCTCCTACTGCCGCCCTCGGCTCGGCCGGCCGACACCGTGACTTGACGACCTGTGCTCCGCGAGGCCAGGGGCTGCGCCGAGGCCTGGCAGCAGGACACACACACTTTGTCAATGTCCACGCGGGGCCACCGGGGTCGTGGTGCACTGCACTGTGTCGTCACGGGGGCGCGAACGCACGACAAAACGACATTCGATCGAAAGAGAACAAAAGACGGGAGAAGGTTGTTCTCTCTCTCTCTCTCTCTCTCTCTCTTTCTCTCTCTCTCTCTCTCTCTCTCTCTCTCTCTCTCTCTCTCTCCCTCCCTCCCTCCCTTCACACACACGTACAACACGGCAAACGCCCTGACGCTGAGGCACCAGCAGCAGTGGAACTGCACGCGCACATTTACTCTCCCAGTGTTTAAATTATTCTCTCATTAATTTCTCGGCAGGGGAGGCAGCAGCAGCAGCGCTCCTGACTGAAATTACGTTTTTAGTGTTTCTGCATGCTTATTAAAAGGGAGGCGCGGCTGCGACGACGACGGAGACGCAAAAATATTGACACAGGGGTTTGTTTAACAAACTGGCCGCCCGCGCGGGAAATGTACGGTGGAGCCGACGGGAGGCGGGAGTGGAGCAATGCTCGCCGCCCTTCGTGCACTAGCAGCTCGGAAGTAGGGAACGTCCGAAATTTTTCGAATGTATTAGACACTATTTCATGAAAAAAAATTACATTGTTAAAATAATCACAGAATAAATGGGAAAAAATAAAGCTATACAGAAAAAAATTAAGAAATTTTAAAATAGGATGACTATATTTTTAATGGCAGTGGGCTTTTTGCGTAAACGCACGGATAATTCACGAGTGCAGATAAGAGGAGCTCCTTCTGAATTCTAGACTGCCGAAGTGTGGACTTCGACAGGCCAGGTGAGTAGATTCGGAGCCGAGGTGTAGCTCAGCAACCTCGGGTTCCTCTGCTCCCTAAACGTACGACCTTCGCCTGCCTCCGCGCGACGCTCAGAGGGACGGAGGGGGGGGGGGTTAATACCCCTCGATTTGATGTCAAACAGGAGCGCGCAGACCCGCGTGGAAAGATTTACAGTTTGAAATACACTTGTGGACTGCAACTGAACTTTTGCTAGAACCGTAGTGTGAGCGTAGTATTTGTACTGAAGT